TGTGGCAGGTATGTTATCATTCACGTATTTACTTAAAGGTCGAAATGCTATGCTTATGTTAATGTATGTGTAGGTACTTTCCTTGTGAACTCTATGCCTGCTCTAGTGTTATTTGATTCGGGTGCGAGTAGATCGTTTGTATCGTTAGCTTTTAGTCAGCACATCGCATTAGTCGTGAGCCGTTAAGCGGCCTTTGAGCGTTTCTATTGCGGCTGAGAGGGTGATTTGTGCTACGGAGGTTCTTCGGGGATGTGTGCTAGAGATCTTCGGGGTCGCGTTTCCGATTGACCTCATTCCTATTGCGATGGGGGATGTCTGTGTCATTGTAGGCATGGACTGGTTGAGCCGATTCAGCGCTGTCATCGACTGCGAGCGTCAGCTGGTGACTATACGAGACCCTAGTGGGGGAGTTCTTACGGTATACGGCGAGGGTACCCGTTCGGGATCAGCTTTTTGTTCGGCCGCTAGGGCGAGGCAATGCCTACAGCGGGGATGTAATGGTTTTGTGGCGTATGTGATGGATACGCGGGAGAGTTCCGAGAGACCGAAGACACTGAAGGAGGTTCCAGTGGTGCGCGAGTTCCCAGATGTTTTTCCCGAGGATTTGCCGGGAGTACCTCCTGCGAGGCAAGTAGAGTTTGGTATCGATCTAGTTCCAGGGGCTGCGCCTATTGCGAAGGTGCCTTATCGTCTTGCACCTCCAGAGATGCAAGAACTGTACTCGCAACTTCAAGAGTTGTTGGGGAAGGGATTTATTCGGCCGAGTAGCTCGCCGTGGGGAGCACCGATTCTGTTCGTCAAGAAGAAGGATGGTTCACACCGGATGTGTATCGATTACCGGGAGCTGAACAAGGTGACGGTCAAGAACCGCTATCCGTTACCGAGGATCGATGATCTATTCGATCAGTTGCAAGGGGCATCTTGGTTTTCCAAGATCGATCTGAGATCAGGGTACCATCAGGTAAGAGTGCGGGATGAGGACGTCCAGAAGACAGCCTTTAGGACGCGGTATGGGCATTACGAGTTCGTGGTGATGCCTTTTGGGCTCACCAATGCCCAGCAGTGTTCATGGATCTCATGAACAGGGTATGCAGGCCGATGCTGGATCGGTCTGGTGATTGTGTTCATCGACGACATTCTGGTGTATTCGCGGTCTAGGGAGCAGCATGAGGGACATTTGAGGGAGGTCCTTGAGGTACTGAGGTCGGAGAAGCTATATGCAAAATTCTCCAAATGTGACTTCTGGTTACGGGAGGTTCAATTTCTGGGGCACGTTGTAAATCAGGCAGGGATATTGGTCGATCCGGCCAAGGTGGAAGCGGTGATGAGTTGGGAGGCACCGAAGTCACCTTCGGAGATCAGGAGTTTCCTTGGGTTGGCAGGGTACTATCGGAGGTTCATTAGGGACTTCTCCAAGATCGCGGTGCCACTCACCAAGGTTGACCCGGAAGGGTGTTACATTTTCATGGGGACCCGAGCAGCAGACTTCCTTCGAGACACTTCGTCAGAGACTGTGCGAAGCCCAGTATTAGCTCTTCCGGAAGGGATGGAGGACTTTGTCGTATATTGCGACGCATCGATTTCGGGACTGGGTGCAGTGTTGATGCAGAGGGCCATGTGATAGCCTATGCATCGAGGCAGCTGAAGCCTCACGAAGCGAGATATCCCACACATGACTTAGAGTTGGGGGCAGTAGTGTTCGCCCTCAAAATTTGGCGTCACTACCTGTACGGGGTTCGTTGTACCATATACACGGACCATAAGAGTTTGAAGTATTTGATGGATCAACCAAACCTAAACATGCGTCAGAGGAGATGGTTAGACGTGGTTAAGGATTATGACTGTGAGATCCTATACCACCCAGGCAAGGCTAATGTAGTAGCCGATGCATTGAGTCGTAGGCGGAGAGCACTCCATTGCGGGACGTATGTTTGAGATTGACGGTGATGACTCCGATATTAGATGCTATTCGTGGGGCACAGGCCGAGGTTGTGAAATCTGGGATGCAGAAACAGGAGCGGGTCGTGGGTTGATTTCAGAGTTCGTTATGGATGGACGGAGACTTATGACGTTTCAGGGTCGGATCTGGGTACCATTCGTGGGCGGTACGCGTGTTACTTTGATGGAGGAGGCACACAGATCGAAATTCTCGATCCATCCCGGTGCTACGAAAATGTATTTGGATTTGAGAAAGGAGTACTGGTGGCCTTGCATGAAGAGAGACGTCGCCTGGTTCGTTGAGAGGTGTTTGACCTGCCGTAGGGTTAAGGCCGAGCATCAGAGACCGCACGGTAAGTTGCAACCTTGGAGATTCCTGAGTGGAAGTGGGAGCAGATCACGATGGATTTCATCACTAAATTGCCGAAACTGCCAGGGGAGTCGATGCGATTTGGGTGATTGTGGATAGGCTAACAAAGAGTGCACACTTCCTTGCCATTAGCGAAAGTTCATCAGCAGAGAAGTTGGCAGAGTTATACGTGAGAGAGATAGTATCTCGGCATGGAGTGCCGACCTCGATTGTTTCGGACCGCGATGTACGTTTCACTTCCAGGTTCTGGAAGAAATTCCATGAGGAGTTGGGTACTAAGCTGCATTTTAGTACCGCATACCATCCCCAGACCGACGGTCAGAGCGAGCGGACGATTCAGACATTGGAAGACATGCTTAGAGCGTGTGTGTTAGACTTCGGGGGTAGCTGGGATGCGCATCTGCCGTTGGCTGAGTTTTCCTACAACAACAGCCATCATTCGAGCATTGGTATGCCACCTTTTGAGTTGTTGTATGGTAGGAGGTGTCGACTCCCATTTGCTGGGGAGAAGTGGGACAGAGAGTGATGGGCAGTACAGAGATTGTACTTCAGACGACCGAACAGATTCAACGAGTGAGGCAGAGGTTATTGACCGCCCAGAGCCGACAGAAGAGTTATGCGGACAGACGCCGGTCCGAGCTCGAATTCCAGGTCGGCGACTTCGTTCTCCTAAAGGTTTCTCCTTGGAAAGGGGTAATTCGGTTCAGGAAGAGGGGCAAATTGGGGCCCCGGTTCATAGGTCCATTTCGGGTAATTGCAAGGGTAGGCGTAGGTAGCTTATCGGTTGGAGTTGCCAGTGGAGCTGAGTCAGATTCACAATACCTTCCACGTATCACAGTTGAGGAAGTGTATAGCCGATGAGGCAGCAGTGGTTCCGTTAGAAGATATTCAGGTGGATGCGAGCCTGAATTACGCCGAAAGACCAGTAGCTATCAGGGATCGGAAGATCAAGGTTCTACGGAACAAGGAGATACCTCTGGTGTTGGTTCAGTGGCAACATCGGAAGGGATCGGAGATGACTTGGGAGCCGGAAAGAGAAATGCGGGAGCAACATCCGGAGTTATTCGCAGAATGAGACTTCGAGGGCGAAGTCTAGTTCTAGTGGGGGAGAGTTGTAACAGCCCGAAATTTCAGGTATTTCTTTAAATTATTTTTGGGGCACATTTAGGAGGGGACTCGGCGAGTTGGTGCATGACTCGCCGAGTAGGGCCATGGTCTTGGTCGCAGTCGCAGATACGCGACTGGACTCGACGAGTCCAAATAGGGACTCGGCGAGTCGACGCTGATTCAGCTGAACCCTAGCCGTTTCATTTCTGAATCGTATATAATGATCTTATGGCCGTCATGTCGCGTCTTTTGGCCGATTGAAGATACCTTGGGAGTTTGTGGGCATCTGGAGCAAGAGTGAGGGCTAGAGGAAGCTTGAAGAGATTGTTAGACAAGGAGGGGCAAGGTGGTGATCAAAGGAATCGAGTACTGGAAGTTTGGGGCACAGGGAACACGTTTCCAGGTAATCTTCGGATCAAAATCTGTAGCTTTTACGTTGTATGCGAATTTAGGGTTTAGGAAACCCATTTAAGGAATTGTTAGATTATCCTGTTGTTATAAGTGTTTAAAAACCCCTGTAATAGTATATGTGAAAGTCCAGGAAGCCCCATATCTATATACTTCGAAATCATGCGAAATACAGGAGGCAGCGGATTGACTGCATGGCGAGGACTCGCCGAGTCCAATGATCAGACTCGGCGAGTAGCTTGAAGTTTCACTAGGACTCGCCGAGTTGTTCTTCAGACTCGGCGAGTAGCTTGAAGATCTACTAGGACTCGTCGAGTCGTTCTTCAGACTCGGCGAGTGGAGTCAGGGTGTCTATACTCGCCGAGTTGCCCTTTGCACTCGACGAGTCCGGTCAAGATTGACCGTTGACCTGTATGTAACTTAGTAGGGTCAGTTGTCTTGTTTGATAAGATCATTAATAAAGGTATGTGGTATTATAGGGAACCTGCGGATTAGCGGATCGAGTGCGAGTAGCTCGAAGGGTTTATAGCTTGCATACTACGAGGTGAGTCTTCTCACTATACTTCACCCGGAAGGGTTTGACTGCGAGACCGGAAGGTCGTATGTGTTATATTTATGCTATGTCTAGAGAGGTAGATGCTTTATATGTGATGAATGCTTATATGTGATGTATGCTTATACGGGCCGGAAGGCGAGACTTAATGTGATAGAAAGAACGGTATGATGTATGACTTATGTGTTATGTGCGTTATGTTACATGTGATATGTTTTATACTACTATGGGCCGGAAGGCAAAATACTATGGGCCGGAAGGCAAATTAATAAGGGCCGGAAGGCGATATGTAACGGGCCGGAAGGCGATTATGTTACGGGCCGGAAGGCAATGTTATGTGGACCGAAAGGTCCGGGCCGGAAGGCGTATGTGGGTAAGTCGTATACTGGGGAACTCACTAAGCATTTATGCTTACTAGTTGTTTTATGTTTTTCAGGTACTAGTGATGACCGTGGGAAGGCGCCGGCGTGACACGTACACACTGCCACTGTTGAAGATCCTGGAGATTTATTATTTATACTTTTGAAATAAACTTGGAATAAACCCTTTTGTCGAATAATGATGTTTTGTTTTAAATGAAAAATTTATTTGAAAATTTGAGCTGTTACAGATGTTGACGTTGACATGGAGGATTTCAATCTAAATATTGATATAGAAGCAGAGTTCAATGGATGTCAAAGAATGGGTGGTCAAAGAAATGAAGATAGTGTTGAAGAAGATGATTTGGAGGTAATTGACAATGACGAGTGGGATTCACTAAGTGATGACTCAGGGGACAACAGGAAAAGAAGAGAAATGATCAAAGAGCTGGGGAAACAAACCTTATGTTCTGCTGGTGAGGTGCACAAGGTAGCTTTTCATATTGGGCAGAAATATAAAGCCAAGAAAGAATTGAAAGATAAAATTGACCTGCATGCTTTAGAGACAAGGAGGAATATCTCATTCACAAAAAACGACAAGAGTAGATTAATAGCTGTTTGTGATGGAACTGTAGTTTTAAATGCAAGTGGGGTAGGTGGACCTACCTCTGGGAAAAAGGTAAAGGGTAAAGATGTAAACTCAGATAAAGTTAAATGCACATGGAAACTTCATGCATCTAGGTCAAGTGAACAGGACTATTGGTTTATTAAGACGTATAATCAGAAACACATCTGCCTCCAAACACGAAAAATCAGATCTTGCACAGCAACATTTCTTTCCAAACGTATTATGGATCAGATTGAAGCTAATCCTGGACTGCCTGTTCGTGCCCTACAAAAGCAACTCCAATCAACTTATGGAGTTAGTATTTCAGAAGAGAAAGCATTTAGGGCAAAAGCATTAGCCACCAAAAATGTTGCAGGGGATTACGTAAAGCAATATGCAGCTTTGAGAGACTATGTACTAGAGCTACAAAAGACAAATGAAGGTACAACTGTAAGATTGATGTGGTTTCAGAACCTGTGGTTTCATCTCC